AAGGAAGTTCCCTCTGTAGTCTCCTATTTAAGGAGCTACGAATTGAAGTAAAGGTATTCAGTTTTCCAGTCAAGAAAAGAGTGAGGAGAGTTTGGGTGGTCTCTTGAACAAATCACCCATTCGGAGAGTTCGGGTGGTCTCTTGGACAAATCACCCATTCAGTTTCCGCAATAGGGTCTGCACGCAAGGGAAGGCGCAAGGGAAAGCAGGGTTTTCTCCCCGTGGACCGACCCGTGACGAGATCCTACGTGCGGGCCCATAACAGTTTTAGCCAAAGAAGTTCACTTGCTACAGCGGTCATGGCTCGATACTCCGCATCTGTTGAAGACCTTGAGACAGTATTTTGCTTCTTGGGCTTCCAAGATAGGGGAGAACTACCCAACATTGTAATATAGCCGGCGGTTGAATGTCGGGTAGTTGGGCAACCGGCTCAATCTGAGTCACAATAAGCTCTGAGTGTTAGATCACTTGATGCAAATAAGTATATGCCATGAGAAATTGTGCCTTTCAAATATCTGAGAATGTGAAGTGCAGCGTCCCAATGTTCTTGTCGAGGTGTACTCATGAATTGTGTGAGCATGTTGACAGCAATTGTTATGTCAGGCCTTGTAACTTGTAAATAGACTAGTCGTCCAACTAGTCTTCTGTATTGGGATGCATCTTGGAGTAACACCCCAGTTGCTAATGCAAGGTGTTGTTGTAGCATTGGAAATGAATTGGGCTTGCATCCAATCATTCCAACATCCTGAAGAATGTCCTGAGTGTATTTCCTCTAACAAAGATGTATACCAGTCTCAATTCGTGAGACCTCAACCCCCAGAAAATAAGTGAGTGGCCCTAGATCCTTTATGTGGAAACATGATCCCAAGTATTCTTCGAGAGCATGGATTTGGCGAGGGTCATTGCTTGTAATGATAAGATCATCTACATATATTAAGATAGCAAGAAAGTTGTTTGGACTAGACAAGGTAAATAAAATGCAATTTGCATTTGAGGCCTGGAAACCATGTGAACGGAGTGCAGCGACAAGTTTCTCAAACCGTTTTCTTGAGGCTTGCTTGAGGCTATAAAGGGAGCGTTGGAGTTTGCAAACTTGATCATCACCATCCTTAAGTTATCTCGGAGGGGGGAGCATATAAACTTCTTCATGTAAGTCTCCATTGTAGGAATGCATTATTTACGTTCATTTGATGGAATTCCCACTTTTGGACCACAACAATGGATAAGAGACATCGAACGATAATAAGCTTAGCTACAGGAGCATCATATGTTTCATTGTAGTCAATGCCTTCTGTTTGAGTGTAGCCCTTTGCTACAAGCTTAGCCTTGTACCGTTCTACAGTTCCATCAGGTTTGAGTTTGACTTTATACACCCATTTGCATCCTATAGGTGTTTTGCCTTTAGGTAATTGAGTCAGGTTCCAAGTGTGGTTGCGGTTGAGAGCTTCAAGCTCATCATTCATTGCTTGACACCACTTTGGATCTGTAATAGCTTCATTGTGTGAACAAGGTTCAGTGGTGTGTAGCAGGGAAGTGGTAAAGGCAGATGGTTGTTGTTTAACAAGGCCTGTCAATGGATGAGCTGTAGAAAAATTGGTGGTTGGTAAAGTGGGGCAAATGAAATCTTGAAAGTGTTTGGGGACTCGGGTGGTCCTAGTAGGTCTGAGATTTGGTTGGATGAGTTCAGGTGGTCTTGAAACATCTTGAGGTGGTTCAGGTGGATTCGGAATGGGCTGAGTGATGTTCTCAGTGCTTGACTCAACTGAGGGATTTTGGAACGAATAAGGAAGTTGGGTGTTTTCCAGGAAAATTGGATTAGGCTCTGGGGGAATGGCCATGTTGGGTGTATTCAATTCAGTTGAGTTTCCATCTTCAAGAAAGGGGAATCGGTCTTCATGAAATTCAACATCTCGAGACACAAATATTTGTTTAGTGTCCAAATCATAAACTCAAAACCCTTTTTGAGCATGTGGGTATCCAAGAAATATGCACTTGGTTGCTCGAGGAGAAAATTTATCATGTATGTGACCATGAATTCGGGCATAACAAAGGCATCCACATACATGTAGATGACCATAGTGCGGAGGCTTACCAAATAACATTTCATAAGGTGATTTACCAGTGAGAAGCGGTGTGGGCAAATAATTGATCAAGTAGGTTGCTGTCATTACACATTCTCCCCAAAATTGGATTGGCAATCCCG